GGGATGGGCTGGGTTGGGTCCTTGAAGATCACAGAAGGATGGAATGGGTTGGGTTGGAAGGGACCTTAGGGATCATGGAACCATGGGATGGGTTGGATGGGTCCTTGAAGATCACAGAAGGATGCAATGGTTGGATGGGACCTTAGGGATCATGGAACCATGGGATGGGGTGGATGGGTCCTTGAAGATCATAGAATGATGGAATGGTTGGATTGGGAGGGACCTTAGGGATCATGGAACCATGGGATGGGTTGGGTTGGATCCTTGAAGATCACAGAATGAGGGAACGGTTGGATGGGACCTTAGGGATCACAGAACAGTGGGATCACAGTATGGTTTTGCTGGAAGGGCCCCTCAGCCTTTCCTCGCAGCAGAGCTGCTCCAGCCCTCTGAGTAGGAAGGAAAATAGGAATCTTTTGAGCAAACTGAGGCCGTCTGCCCTAAAGCAAAAACGGGTGGCACTGCAGACGTCTCCACCCCAAGCACTCACCTTGACGGGCTGAGCAGGCGTGGGGATGACGGGGGGGTGAGGCTGGATGGGCTGGGGGGTCGGGGCCGGCGGGGCGGGGGTCTGGGGGGCCGGCGGAGGCGGCACCGGGGGCTGTGGAGGCACCATCGTCATCACGGGCGTCGGGACGATGAGGTCAGGGGTGACAGCAGTGAAGGAATGGGTGGTCTGTGCGGCCTGGAGGTTCTGCTGTGGGGCCTGAGTCTGGGCTGGGGACGAGGCCTGGGTTGTGTTCTGTACCGTGGATGATCCTGGCTTGGATGTCACTGCGGAAGGAAAAGGAAGAAAGCGTCCATTCTCTCCCTCTCTCTCTCCAGGCTTAACGGGAAAACAATGTTTCGTAACGAGTGAAAGAGCGTTGCTCATTAGATAATGAATGCTTTGCAGAGCCTGCTCTTGAGCAACCTGTCAGGGACAAAAACACTCCTCACGTTTTCCTCTACTGCTTGTTGGGTGAGATGGTGACGAAGCCCAGGACCTCGCTCACCAAAACCACGCCAGGAAAGGAGCGAGGAGCAGCCCTGAGGCGTCCTCCTCTCTTCTCCTTTTCCTTCCAGGAGTTCTCCTAGGGGCCGATGGTTGCCCACGAGCCAGCAGTGCGCCCTCGTGGCCAGGAAGGCCAATTGTGGCCGAGTGATCAGTGGTTGACCAACAGCTGACCACGAGCCGGCAGTGCGCCCTGGAGGCCAAGGAGGCCAATGGCGGCCAACGGGTTGACCAGTGGTTGACCAACAGTTGACCAGTGGTTGAGTGGCAGTTGACCACGAGCCGGCAGTGCGCCCTGAAGGCCAAGGAGGCCAATGGCGGCCAACAGGCTGACCAGTGGTTGACCAACAGTTGACCAGTGGTTGAGTGGCAGCTGATCACGAGCCAGCAGGGCGCCCTGGTGGCCAAGAAGGCCAACAGAACCCTGGGATGCATTGCCCAAAGCGTGGCCAGCTGGGTGCTCTGCACTGGGGAGGCCCCGTCTGGAGCACTGGGCCCAGTGCTGGGCTCCCCATGTCAGGGCTGATGGGGAACTGAGCCCAGCGGAGGCTGCAGAGATGCTGGGGGCCTGGAGCACCTCCTGGTGGGGACAGGCTTGAGAGGCCTGGGGCTGTGCAGCTGGGGAGGAGACTGAGAGGGATCTGAGAGGGTGGGGGGCAGCAGGATGGGGCTGGGCTGCGTTTGGTGGGCCCTAGTGACAAGACAGGGGCACTGAGCACACACTGCTGCCTCGTGGTCAACTGCTGGTCAACCTGTTGGCCACCACTGAGGTCAACCTGTTGGCCACCATTGGCCTTCTTGGCAACCAGGGCACAGTGCTGGCTCACAGTCAACTGTTGGTCGACCACTGGTCAACCTGTTCACCATTACTGGCCCCTATTGGCTACCAGGACACACTTGGGCTCACAGTCAACTGTTGGTCGACCACTGGTCAACCTGTTGATCATTACTGGCCCCTATTGGTTACCAGGACACACTTGGGCTCACGGTCAACTGTTGGCCACCACTGGTCAACCTGTTGACCATTACTGGCCC